AACCTATTTATATCCTCCCACATATTTTAAGTCATCTCTAAAGTATTTATGACACTAATAAAATGTAAATGATGTATATAGAGTAGCTGTTCTATACTAAGGAAAACTGACAAGAAAATATACATGTTTACTATGGATAGAATTTTTAAAAAATATTTTGATCCACAATTTGTTGAATCCACCAATATGGAAAATACAGGAACAGAAGGCAGGCTGCATTCTATTTATTACCAGAGTCCCAGAGGACGTCTAGGGGATGTTGTTTAAGGAAGGGAATGGATCTCTCCCACTTGAAAATCACCCATGGCTCCTAGCAGACTGTGTAGCAGATGCTACCTGTGTGTCATTGTTCCCACTACACGTCAGGCGTTGTTCTAAACAGTGGTTCTCAAAGTGTTGCCTATGCATCTGTGGAGATCGCTGTCTTCTTCATGGGGTCCTAATCCACAAATATTTTACAATAATGCTACACACTGTACGCCTTTTTCACTCTCACTCTCTCATGAGGGCCTGGCGGAAATTTCCAGAGGCTCTGTGAATTTGACAGCTTATAGAATGTGTGCTTGTGGTTCTTGTGTTTTGAAAGTGTCTTGGTTTCTGTTTTCAAATATGGCAAATGTTAATAGATATAACCCATACAAACAATTCTTTAGAGTTTTAAATCATGTTGAAGAGAGTGATTTTTTTTTTCTTAATATGGGCGACCTTCAGCTTGGCAGACAGGTGTGGCGCCACTGAGCTACATCCCCGGAACAAGAGCATGACATTTTTGAACCCAAACTGTTGAGATCTTCACTGTCTAGACAGAGTAAGAAGCTGTGGGTACTGTTGTGGCTTATATCTAGGTGTTCCCCTAAAGCTTCATGCATTCATAGGGGGGCTTTGGGGAGATAACTGGATCATGGTTGTGTGATACTAAATTAGTCCACTGGTTGGTTTAGCACAGTTCTGGGTGTGGATGATGGATTTACTGAAGAGGAAAGGCCCACCCTGGTGTGAGTGGCACCAACGCATAGGTTTGTAGCTGCGATGGAAAAATGGGCAGAAGAAGGAAGGCTTGTTGCCCCCTGCCTGCCATACCATGAACTTTTCCTCCTTTGCCATGCTTTGGAACCAGCCAAATACGGACTGAACCCTCTTCAAACTGAGTTAAAATAAACCTTTCCTCCTTCAACTTGTGGATGTTGAGTATTTTATCCCCACAATAAGAAGAGTAATCAATACAGTCACTATGACAAAAGCAAGGTAAAGAGAGTAGGAGGGGCCGGGAAGAGGGTGGAGCGTGGACGGACGAGAGGGCAGCTTGCAGTTTTGACTCCATTATTTGCCCACCTGGACATGCTTTGAGCCAGGATCCTGGTGGTGGCAACCAAACTTGTATGTCTATTTGCTAAGTTACAGAGCTCCCTTGGGACTGGTTGAACTGCTTCTCCTTCCTCTGGAAAGCTTGGGGCACGACTGTCACTCTTCCATGTCATAGATCTCCCAGTGGGGTTTCTCCAGCAGCTTATTCAGAAGGTTGCATGGGAGAGAATTTGGGGGTCTTACGAGTCTGCAATGTTTTTGTCCAAACACTCTCAAATGTTTATACCTGGTTGATGACTGCAGTGAGAACAGAGTTCAAGATTACAAATCACTAAGTCCAGACATTTGAAGGTATTAGGGTCATCTGGTACTCAGTGTTGCTATGAGAAGTCTGAAGCTGTTCTGATTCCCCCCTCCCTCTCTCTTTGAGACAGGGTCTTGCTTTGTAGTGTAGACTGGCCTTGAATACACTATGTAACTTAGGCTGGCCTAAAACCCATGGTGATCCTCCTGCCTCAGCCTCCTGAGTGCTGGGATTACAGGCATGTACCACCATGCCAGGCTTCTTTCCTATTTTCAATCTGTCTTTTTGTTCTAATTCCCAACATGTTTCCTCAATTTAATCTTCCAACTCTTTTATTAATTAAAAAAAAGAATAAGAAATATTTAGCCTGAGATTTAGCTCAGTGGTCCCACTGCCTGCCTCTGAAGCACAAGGTCCTGAATTCAGTCGCTGGTACCAATTAAAAAAAAGGATTCAGCTATCAGATCTCTATTTGCACAGCTCCTCTAATCTTTGGATATTTCCTAATAGTACTATTTTTACTGCCACTCAAGGATGTAGTCATGTTATTTCTCTGAGGATAAAATGCTTAAAAAAAAAGGAGGTCCCAAGGATTTGGCTCAGTGGCACCACACCTGCCCTCACAAGGGCAAAGTCCTGAGTTCGATCCCTGGTACTGCAAAAGAAAAAAAAAAAAAAAAG